AATGCAGAACTGCAAAATATGCAGCCACATTGTAGACAGAATGCTGTGCAAATTCAATTAGGTAATTAATTACATTACGGTTCAGTTAGTCATGTGAGGCTTAAAAAATAGATAAGAGTAAATCATGATTAAATTATCCATGAGTGAAATGTGCTGTGCAAACACAGCCAGTGTTTTATTGTTATAAGACATCCCTTCTATTTCCTGACATGGCAAAGTACCATGTAGGAATTATCTGATAATCCTGCCTTGAACAATTTCATACTAACATTTAAAGTAAATATTCACATGCATTGCTTCTTTCAATTCTTACCCCACCCCATATTGACCAACCTCTTTATTGGCTTTCTCGCCTATGTCACAGTAATGCCAACTATCTTCCTAATGTTTGCCAGCTCATGTGCTGACAAGTTTCCATTTGGCATAACACAAAGAAATTGAACAGTCTTTGTTGCTAGTTAGTATAGGCATACTACTTGTTTTCCTCTGCTTTACTAGTACCGTATTTCCTTTGGCACATTATTAGCTAATGGGAAAAATATAGTATCTACCAACGTGGACACTGCAGAACAAATGAGGCATAAACCTCATTCTACAATTTGGGGATTCACCTGAACGTCTGGAAATTGGTTTAGTCTGCCTTTCCTCCCAAACTTCATTTAGGTGTCACACATATTAAATATATTAGATGTAGAGATGGATAGACAATGACTTCCAATTATAAATGTGTGCACATTTGACCATTTTAAAAATTAACTGAATAGAGATTCTAATTCAAATAGATATAATTGGATACACTGGGGGAGAAACAAGGGAAGAAATAGCTCTAGAAAAACAGATAGACTCCCCACTATTGTGTTGCTAGCTGTATAATTGAAACTGACTAGCCAATGGACTTTCTTCACTTGGAAAAGTAATTGATGTTAAGAAATTTGTAATATAATTAAGGAAAGCCCTTATCTTCAAGATGCAGCAAGAAAGAAGAACAGGACTACTACTGCAAGCCTAATTTCAGAATTCTGCTAATAAGGAGTTAACAAGTACATTCCCTTTTTTCCCCTAAATAAAACAGAACTTCTTAAAGTAAAAAGTTGAGGTTGGATGTTACTTCTTATTCTTCTGCACCAAAGGGAGTCAAAAGTCAATGCCTTTTTTTCTTTCTCCCTTCTTTATACTTTTCTCTTCCCTTTTTCCTCCCCTACTTTTCCTATTGCTTGCTTTCGTGTTTTTATATTTTATATTATAAACTAATAAAAAATAAAATAGTTTCTTTTCCTCTCCCCTACCTGGGTTAGGGCCTGATTTATTTATAAAACTTGTTCTAATTACCTTTGCCTGTCATATAGGGACAGGGTAGGCATATCTGGGTCCTATCAACTGGAAAGGGTCATGCTATGGGACCCAGAGCATGCTTTCTTTGTTGCCCTTCAATAAAATGTTGGTCAGAAGGTTCCTAATTTTTATCATCACCCTCTGCCTCCAAGGGTATTTGGCCTTGATCCTGCTGTCCTTTGGGGCAGCTTTAAAAAGTTAACTTTTCAAACAGGCAAAGATCAGGGCAATTTATTAATCTTTTTTTGGAATTCTTCCAACCTCCCCCCACACCCCCCCCCCGAAAAAAAATTAACAAGAGTGGTAGGAACTACAATAATGCCATATATTAATATATTGCTACTTAATATTAATAACACTATTAATATATTAATACAGTAATATCACCAGATTTGTTAGCTGCCTTGCAGGCACATTTTAAAATCAAACTCACATCTCTACCTGCATATGTCTTGGTGAGAATCCTCAATGTCTCCCCTCCCCCTTCTGTATAAAAAATAACTGAAAAACTACACTGAATATAATTTAACATATAAGCCCTCTTTCTCATGTTGATAGATTAACTTTGTAATCTTTTTCTCCTTGTTCATATTAAAAAGTGAAGAAAGATCAAGATGACCTTCAGGCAGCTAAATATTGTTTCAAAAATTATTACATATGTATCTACTCTAGCATGTTACTTTTTATTGGTAACAGGTTTGGATTTCTGAAACTTTATCTAGTTAGATTAGAACACAAGTGTTTGTGTTCCTTGCATGAAGATGCTTTCTGATTTTGCCTCCTGCAGCAAAATAAACAAGCTGACCATATAAACATGCATTTGAAAGGTGTTTAATAGTGTCGTATTAATCTGAAGATAAAGGAAAGAGCTGAGCTGGAAAGGACCTTGGAGGTCTTCTAGTCCAGCCCCCTGCTCAAGCAGGAGAACCTATACCATCTCAGACAAGTGGCTGTCTAGTCTCTTCTTTAAAATCTCCAGTGATGGGGCACCTACGATTTTTGGAGGCAAGCTGTTTCACTGGTTAATTGTCCTGTCAGGAAGTTTCTCCTTGATTCTAGGTTGCTTTTCTCTTTGATCAGTTTCCAACCATTGTTTCTCGCCCTTCCCTCTGGTGCTTTGGTGAATAATGTGACCTCCTCTTCTTTGTGGCAGCCCAAGTACTGAAATACTGCTATCATGTCTGCAACCTCCAAAGAATATGTATAAATTTAGCACTAAAGTATGGTAAAGTTTGTAATAGATTTGGCAGCAGTTGATCATTTCCCTTTCCCACTGCAACAGGCTATCTAATACATTAGGAAGGTTTGGAATTGCAAAGCCATTCAGTAGGAAAGACCAAGCAGAAGGAAACAGTGATGATCTATGAACTGTTTTCTATAGAATTGATTTTATTATATATCCCACCTTTATTATTGATTTTCTAACAGAATTTCTCATTAAAACGTTTCCAAAGTATAGAAATGCAGTTATGTAATATACATTCCCATTTATGGTGGGGTTTGCTCAGTTCTGAACATTAATTTTGTCATTCTGGCTTGATTAGGAAACCCAGTAGTGGATTCAAATATGTGAACAACTGGTTCTCTATGTGGATGCCGCTTCTGGAAGTCCATTCTGGGCCTGGGCAACAATAAAATTAGCTACCGGTTCTGCCAAAGTGGTGCAAACCGGCTGAATCCCACCACTGGGAAGATCTAGAAAGCATCTTATTATTTTAAACTGGTCTGAATGAAGATGCCCTGGATAGAAGACCTTTCCAGGTGTCAAACTTAGTACCACCTTTCTCAATCTTTTTCACCCGGAGGATCTTGCAACAATTCTCAAGTCTCGGGGAACCCTGCATACAAAGGAAAGCACAAAAAGTTCACAATCCAATTCACTCCTAACCTACACAATACATGTATGACATCATTTTGAGCCACAGTGAAGCAAGTTGTGCACAAATATTTCCACCAGTGTGAACACTAGCACTACAGGGAGTCCCAAGTTCAAAAAAAATGTTTACTTATTTCAGTCACTATCTTCACAGAACCAGTGCTGGGATTCAGCCAGTTCGCATCACTTTGGCAGAACCGATAGCTAATTTTTTGTTGCCCAGGGCCAGAATGGACTTCCAGAAGCGGCATCCATACAGAGAACCGGTTGTTCATGTATTTGAATCCAACCACTGCACAGAACATGTTAAGTTTGGCTTAATTCGTGCCAGGTTGTTCGGCCTGACTGGTGGCAACCTACTATAACTGACTTTTATTCAAGGACTTTTATCAAGGGATTTTAGGGAAGATTTTAATTTTCCTTCACTTTGTCACAGGAACAAATAAAACTTAAATCTAGTAAAGGCCCGCGGGCATCTTCTTCTTGATTCCTTGGAATATTGTCTTTGCCCACCCATACTGAGATTTGTGTATCTCCAAGTCCTACTAAAATAAAATAAAATAAAATAAAATAAACTATTTTAGAACTGCCAGATGTATTAATTGACCTGGGCCAGTCACTCTCTTTTAGCCCAACTCACCTCACAGGACTGTTTTAGGGAAAACAGGGGGAAGGTATGTTAAATATGTTCCCCACTTTGACTTACAGTTAGTGCTTGACTTATCATCACAAATGAGCCCAAAATTTCTGTTATGAGACTTAAGTGAATTTTACTCCATTTTATGACCTTTCTTGTTGCAGTTATTATGTGAATCACAGCAGTTGATAACTTAAGTGACTCAGTTGTTAAGCGAATCTGGCTTCCCCATTGATTGTTCTTTGTTGGAAAGCAGCAAAAAGTGATCACAACACCTTGGGACACAGCAACGGTTGTAAAAATGAACCAGTTGGCCAGGCATGAATTTTAATCACACAATCATGGAGGTGCTGCAAGGGTCGTGACTGTGAAAAACGGTCAGGTCACATTTTTCAGTGTCGTTGTAACTTTGAACGGTCACTAAACGAACTGCTGTAAGCCGAGGACTGCTTGTATTTGTAAAAATAATAAAGGCAGGATACACCAAAAGTGAGAGGCACAAATTGCCTTTCTAGTCTCTCCCTGAGCGGAAAAACAGGCGATTATTGCACGTGGTTTTATTCCTCTCTTTTCTTTCCCTTCAAGCCCAACGCGTTGATGTTGATATTAACCGCCCTTTCTCAAGCACCGTTTGCAGCTCAATGCAGAGACCGGCCGATTTATCTGAATTTTAATAGCGAGGCCAAGTGCGTCAATAACCCTCCCTTCCCTTTCAAAACTCTATCCCTCCGCGGGGCCTCTCCCTTTCCTCAACCGTTAGATGGCCGCGTTTAAATGCGCCCCCCCCCCTCCAGTCCTAGCGACCCAATCGGGGCAAGGCCTGAGTGGAATTATTCACATCTCCTTACGTTCGCTTACACTTATCTACGTCGCTGGATTTGAGCCTTTCCAACCAGGCCTCTACAGCCGCACGCGCGCTTCACCTTAGGACCCTTTTAGTCCTTCTAGCCAGATGCCTGACTGAAGAGACCAGAAGGAGGGCTTTTTTACTGCCCTCCGTGCTCCGTTAGAAACGGAGATCATCCCTGAATAAGCGATGGAGGCCGTCCGCTCCCGTTTTTACCTCCTCCCGCTTTGGAAGGGTGAGGAAGTGTTATTTTTAAACAGGCATTCACGACGGCGGGGCCGAGGCCCCCGGCGCGACAAACGCGAGCGAAAAAGGGGTCCTGGAAGAGAGTCAAAACGCGCCAAGTTTCTCGGTGCGGAGGCGGCCGAGTTTGGACTAATCCAATATTGGTGTTCTCCGTCTCCCCCTCCCCCACGTTTAGCCTTTGGGAGCGCGCAGAACGGCAAGATGTAGCGGGTGAGGAAATGCGGCCGCGGCCCGATCACCGAGCGAGGCGCGGGAGTTAGCGCCGCCGGCCGGGCAGAAACCCGGTGACTTTTTAGCCTGGGGCTATCCTTGAGGACTAGTAACTTAAGCTCGTCGTCCACCCTCCCTCTCCCCGGTTGAGCTGCGTCTGCTTTAAATAGCCCTGAAGCGTTGAGAAGAAAAAAAAAAACTCCGCTTTCCGAGGACGTTCCGACTAGGCTGAGGAGAGGTGGCTCTTTCCAACGCTTCTCCCGCCAATTGAGGAGAGCGGCGGGGTGGCCATCGTTGGAAAGGGTGCGGTGGGGATACGCTAGCCGGGGTAGTCGTGGGAAAGACGGAGGGTTGACTTTCGGCTTTGCGCCCTGTTCGGATGGAAGCAAGTGTCAGGCGTGGTCGTGGCGGGAACGGGTAGAGTCCGGCTGCTGAGGCTAACGGCGGTCTTGAGGCGGTGGGGGCGGAAGAATTGCCCACTTGGTGGGTTGGAAGCAACTGCACCGAGGCGAAACTCGAGTCAAAGCGCTGCTTGAGCTGATTTTAAAAAAAGTATACAGCCTGTGTTTCTCAAGATTAGCGACTATAAAATGTGAGGATTCAGCTCCCAGAATGCCCCAGCCAGCAGTGGTCTCAGAGGCTTCTGGACACTTTTAGGAACAACTTTAAATTAAATTTGCAGGAAGCCTCTAAAAGGCATCCTTGAAAGTAACTGGCTTGCTATCTTTCCTGCAGAAGTATCTTTCACAAAGTCAAAGCCATCTGACCTGTGACGCCTTGATAAAAGTGGCGTCTACTATAACCAGCCCCCTCTTCGTTGGGCCCGGATGTCTTTTCGAGTAATATGCGGGGCGGGGGCGGGCGAGACACACAACACCGGGGAGACACACAACACCACTTAATAAAACACAAACGTCTTTTGTGTGCATCAACAGGAGTAACTGCGGATTACAGTTCTCTTTCATGCTTTCCTCCACGTTTGGCTGAGGGGGGAAAATGCCTGGCGTGTTGCCCAGTGACAGTCACGGACTTTCAAGAGATACGCCAGCAGCAAAAAGCAGGCTGTCATTGAAGTTTTTCCAGAAAAGAGAAACAAAAAGAGCACTAGATTTTGTAGAATCAGCGGAAAATGAACAAAAGGCTTCAGCATATGAGTCTTCTGAAATGTAAGCTTTTCAGTTTGTAACAGAGTGAAAAGTTGGAAAACATTTTTTTAAAGTAATTATGTGTACTCAGTTGCATACTTAATCACAATAAAAGATATACAATTGAGGATTTTAAGCATACAAATGTAGGCTTTTCCTGTTCTGGTCCAGTGTCTTGGTCAGGGGCAATCAATTTATGGCACCGTGCAAGAAGGGGTTGGGGCAGGACAGTGTGGCATTTATGAAAAATATGTTAGTTATGCTAAGCTGGTATTATTGGCTATATTGAAAGATATTTGCTTCTTTAATATTTTCCTTACAGCAGGATAGATAATTTGTGGCCCCAGTGCTGCCTTTTTATGGCTTCCAGAGGCCCTCTTCTGCCTTCAGTTGCTATAAACATAAGACAGTTTCCTGGTGTTTTGAAGTGAGAAGTATTAAAAAACCAGTGGAAGCCCTAAAATATGCTCAGCATGTTAAAAAGAAAATTCCATTCATATCTTTAAATTTTTACTTCATCCAGTTTTCATCATCATTCATTCACTGTACCCCTTGATCACCTAACAAATATTAAGTTCAGCCCTGGGCTTCAAGTAGATTACCCATCTAATTTATGCAAATAAGCTTATTGTTTTAGATCTTTGTTATCAGTTTAGATATAAAAATGCCTTCAGAAACTAGTTTGCAGCGTGTTAAAAAGTAGTGTGCTATAATGTTAAACAATACCTTTTGAGTTGATTTTGTAAATATTAAAAGTGTAAAATTTTAAAAATATGTTAACTGCTGTACTGTAACTGTACCCTGAATACATAATTGTTTAGAATCTAAATTTATGTAAGTGTTGTAAACTTACATGTACTTATTTGGGAAGTTCGTTAAAGTCTGTGTCTTCTGGAAAGTTATATATAGGATAGTATTATTAAAATGCATGCTATATTTTTCATCTGTATTTTGAAATTGGTCTTTTTTATATTACTAGAGATCAAATAGTTCCTGCAGCACAACCTCTTTCACCAGCCTGTTGTGATAAAAAAGACAACATGCTACCTTTTGTGGGATTGAACAATCTTGGAAACACTTGTTATCTTAACAGCATACTTCAGGTAAATTTTTAATATGGTTTTAAAAATATAATGTTTTTGGTTTTCTATCTAATCTTATTGGATGAAGCAGGTTATTTTTAAAAAGCACATATGTTTTGTAATGTTAATTTCATGTCCTATTTTAGGGATATTTAGCTGTTTCAAAGTTTAATGTTTTTCAAGTGTTTTATCCCTTACAAGTAGAAATGTGCTATTGATTAAAACAATTATAATGCAATCTGAATATTTTCCATGCTGATCACACATTATTTGCATATAAATACTTTCTGGAATGTTCTCATTCAAACTTTTGTTATAACCACATTATTACTGTTCTTTTCCTTTTGTCGAAAGTACTCATTCACTTTTTAATATCTCACTCCATCCTTTAGCTTAGATGTCTGACCTATAAATACCAAACTCACATTTGGCCTTGTTAGGTTTGATTATCTTATCTGTTTCACAGAAGAAGAACTAGACATCTTTGATAATAAGTTCGCAACCCCTTTTCCCCAATGTAAATGTGAATAGGCCAAAACCCTCATAAACATTAAAGCAACATATAAGCACAATTTTAAAGAAAACTGTAAAGATTACTCAGTAAAATTACCATACTAAAAACAAGTAAAGCATACTCAGTTTAAGAAACCCCTAAATAAATATCAAACAAAAAAGCATACCTCTCCTGCCAAATATGCAGACATAGGCATATCCTCAGATTTGAAGTCAAAACCCCATCACTCCAAAACACGGAGAAAGCATTTTCTGCTTCTTGGTCGGTTATGACTTTTCTGTACTTGCATGAAAAGGATGGAATCTCTTGCTATACAAATAATTTTATATGTACTACCTTGTCTCTTTTTTAAAGTAGCTGATCACACATCTTTCTTCAGTGTTACAATAAACAAGTAACATAATGAAGGTATGTCATCAGAGACCTATATATGCAAAAGTTTACACCTTTGATATATTAGCTAAAAAGTAGCAGGTAGTTCAGGGTCATTTGGTAATTGTGAGTTTAAATATAATTTCTGGTCCAAGTAAAATGTTTGATTAACTAAAGCATGTATATTATATTTGAAAGTTTTCCACATATAATGTATTCTTAATTTTTTATTTTCTATTTTAATTTTAGGTGCTCTATTTTTGTCCTGGCTTTAAAACAGGAGTGAAACAATTGTTTAATATAATTTCAAAAAGGAAGGAAAGTTTAAAGGATGAAATAGATAAGGTGAGATTTACTGTCCACTATTAGATATATCATAAGCTACCTTTAGAGAATTCAGAATGATGTGGTAACAGTTTTGGTTTTTTAGAAGGAATTTATAAGGTACTTACAAACACAGTTATATTATCAGGATAATTCATCACATATCCTGATGCAATCATATGCAGGTTCTTGATGGCTCACCTCATGAGAAAACAATGCATAATCATAAAAATTAATTGAAAAACAGAAAACCATACATAGAGGATAACGTCTGGCATCAGTCCCCAAATGAAAAATTATTTTCAGAAGCTTCTGGAAGGCAGAATGCATATTTTTGCAGGAAACCATTCCAGAGGCTTAGTCTGATACATGGTGACTCCCCTCTCATTCAGAAAATGATGGAGAGCCAGTTGCTTCTCCTGGCAGGATCAAAGTGGCTGGGCTGACTCTAGATACAGGCCTGCCCTGCTTATATAAACACGCATGTAACAATTGAAAGGCCTATAATATTTACTCCACTTTTTAAATATCTCCCCTCTTGTCAGATTCATTATTAAATCTTCCGTACTTTGCGCAATAAAATTTGGTTGCATGAATTTATAGTAACAAAAGACATGCATGTCAATGATACAAAAAAGACCATATTTTCATATAACAAATAATAGGGAAAAATATAAATTAGTAAAGCAAACAATTTTCTGTCTTTATAGGAAACTACTAAAGAACATTCTTTTGGAAGTTATGAATTGGTATGCAGCTTACACACTTTGATTGTTTCAGTTGAACAGCTTCAGGCAAGCTTTCTTTTAAATCCAGATAAATATACAGATGAACTTGCTACTCAACCAAGAAGACTGCTAAATACACTTAGGTAGTAATGATGTTTTTACAATGTTTCCAAATATAAGAAACTGCCTATTTTTAAATACTACAATAACATTCTGTAAGCAGTACTGTATTATTTGTATTAAGGACATATAGTCTTACTTATACTGAGAGTATAGAAAATTTCTGGCAAATTATTAGTACTTTTAATTAATGTAGCTCAATAATTACCAGTTTAGAGTTTGCTCCTTGTGTGATCTCAATGGTATAAATCTTTAATGATTAAAATTAACAGTAATTTTGATCTAGGCAGGCTTTTTATAAATGAATGCACATATAATCATTCTAAATGAAACTGCTTAGTTTGAACTATGTTCTCTATAATAGTTAAATTGCAGTTCTTGTATACCTTGGAAAATGGTTACTAAGGTTGCTTAGGCTCATATATTTCCTTGTACAGGTTTTATAAATACTATTAGATATAAGTTAACTGAGTGTATATATTCTTTATTTCTTATGTACTTATAGAGAGCTAAATCCCATGTATGAAGGATATTTGCAGCATGATGCTCAAGAAGTATTACAGTGTATATTAGGACATATTCAAGGAACTTGCCAGCTCTTAAAGGAGGAACTACGACGGAAATCACTGGAGGAGCCTGCAATTCAACTGAAAAAAAAATCTAATTTGGATGCCAATGGCATTAGCTTTGGGGAAGATGATACTATGCTCCAGAGCCAAACTATAAAGAATTATGAAACCAAAACAAAAGAAAATGCAAAGAGGAAAAATGTTATGGAAGGTGGTAATGAAAAGAAAAAATCAAAAGTCTTCAAAGAGAAAAACGGAGTAGAAGAAAATTTGAGACAGACTCGATCGAAAAGAAAAGCTTTGGAAGAAAAAGTAGAAAATCAAACTGAAGATACCATTAAACAGTCTGTTGAAAATGAAAATACAAAACCAATACATAAAAAATCAAGACTTAGATTAAATTGGTTAAAATCTTCAAATGACCAGCCTAGCATTTTATCTAAATTTTGTAGTCTGGGAAAACTGAAAACAAATTTGGTGTCCAAAGATCAAGTTAAAGACATTAACAACTGTGAACTTACAGACAGTTCCCTCAAGTATGAAAACGATAGCAAATCAAACAGAGAATGTTGTGATTCTTCATCTATGAAAATTACAGTTGGAGAAAGAACTGAATGCTTCAGTCAAGGTTAGCCTATGCCCATGACATGGGAGAGTGGGAATTTTACCAGCTTTGATGCTTTAGTGATTTGATCATCCTTCTGTGCCATCAAATTTAATAGTAAAAGTTTATAAACCAATTATTAGCTGTAAGAGAAGGCAAAGTAAACCATGCATCTAGTTTTCTTGCCTCTGCACGTGTTTACCTCCAAGTGAAATGCAATTTTCCTATTGAGTATCTCAAACAAGCATACACATTCTATGCTTGTATGCTCCGTCCCTATAAACAGAAATTTGTAATATTATTAGCATATTTGTGTTCCAGTGTCACACCTGAAATACATTGTTTAAATAAAAAGTTTGTTATGGAGTAGAATAAGATGGTCATGTACATAAGAAGTCTTCCAACTATTCTGCTTCAATCATTCTCTTTTTTACTACAGTTATTCAAATTCATTCATAAAATATCTAGGATTTTTTTAAAAAAATATTTCATAAACAAAATCCGTTCAGAGAAAATATTTCACTTAATCTGTTTTTTTTTTTTTTTTTTTTTTTTGGGTACAGAATTTGCTATCTTCAATTTAGTGGAGAGACTCTTCCAAGGTCAATTGGTCTTACGAACCCGATGTTTAGAGTGTGAGTGCTTTACTGAGAGAAGAGAAGATTTTCAAGATATCAGTGTACCCGTTCAAAAAGATGAGCTCTTAAAAGTAGAGGAAAATTCTGAAAGTAAGTAGAACCTCCAAAGTAACAGATTCATGATTTATACTAGAACCTTATTGGATAGCAGGTGTTGCTAGAGAGTACTCGGGATACTATGCGTTAAACCTTTAAAGGGTATGTTGATTACTTTAAATTTCCCTTAGTAAATACTGCTTTATCATTTAGTTACAAAGCTGGAATGAAACTTGTGGATTCCTACTCCATTTTAGGCATATTGAGTTGATTTTAAATTAGCTTCGCCAATATCAATAACCTGAGGACAGAAACTTGACCTCGAAATTCTGAGATAAGACCAACATATAAAAACCAATGTTCTTAACGTTGTAACTCCTTACCTTGTGTTCTTACAAGTAATTTGTTTTTCGAATTTTTACTACTGCTATAATTAACAGCAATTTGTACTTTCAGAACAACTGTATTAAATATTGTTGAATTAATGTTATCTCTTTAGTTTCCCCAGAGCCCAAAACGGATGTAAAGACTTTGAAATGGGCAATTTCACAGTTTGCTTCCATAGAGAGGATTGTGGGAGAAGATAAATACTTTTGTGAAAATTGTCTCCATTACACAGAAGCGGAACGCAGTCTTTTGTTTGATAAAATGCCTGAAGTTGTAACAATCCACCTGAAGTGCTTTGCTGCAAGTGGCTTAGAGTGAGTATTGGATATAAATAGTATGAAAAAATTACTGGAAGCCAATTAAAATTTAGACTAATGATAAAATGAGAACAGTTTACTATCAAACATTATTCAGATGTTAATTAGCATTTATGTTTAATAGATACTGAATGAAAAATAGGATTTCATAAATTATTCTATGGAGGGATAAATTTTAAGATTTTATTCTATATGTAAGCTCTGTTCTCTAATTTTTATTTTTAAGAACATTCTGGATATAAGTACAACTTTGTTTGACAGTATGATTTAAACCAGTGGTTCTCAACCTTTCTAATGCCGCGACCGGGTGCCAGGGGCATGGCCAAAGAAAAGGGGGAAAAAATGGCAGACAGCCTTGTTTGGCGACCCCCGTGAAATGGTTGTTCGACCCCAAATGGGGTCCCGACCCACAGGTTGAGAACCACTGATTTAAACAGAATTTGGTACAACCAATTGACTAATTTTCTTTATCTCTACACTATTCTTTCTACTACTCATTAACCATCATGGCTTAGCAGAAAAGTGCTAGCTAAAGTGGTGCACCACCCAGAGTCATGATGTAAGATGGGTAGCCGTATAAATGGAATCAATAAATACTACAACCTGAATGAGTATGCTTCCAGCAGAACTTTCATTCCAGGTTTTTTTTTTAAAAAAAAAAAAAAAGCCATTTGCTCCCAGTGGTCATATAATGTTTGAAAGGTTTACCTGTAAATCTGTATTTGATTATGTTCTTTATTCAGTGGGAAATCTCTGTGAACATGGATAATCCACATGCTCGTATAATTTTCCCGAAATTATGTAATTAGACATCTAAAATTATTTATTTGGCTGATATAAATAGATCATAGTGGTGAAAAATATTTGTCCATTCATAAATGTATAGTCTAGTGTATATACTTTCAGCAGTATGCTGGAAAAAATAAGTAGAATTTAAAGATTAATTTAGTACTTACTTGAATATATGTAGTATCTGAAATGTGTAATTTGAAATATGGCTGATTAAATAAGATTTTTACCTTGGAGTGCTTATTCTGAATGCTTGAAAGATCTGTGTGGCTGCAAGACTGCTCTTTAGTACTGTTCGTATCTGGTGAAAAACACAAATCCATAACGCAATGCCATTCTTTTGTAAAGGTGATACCCAGTATAGTGGACTTTTTAAGATCTAGTCAAAAATGGCTTTCATTGTAGCATACAAAGTTAAAGCAATTAAACCAAGAAGCTATTTAACCATGGACTGATTATTTTAGAAATCTCAAAAATAAGCAACAGTGAGCCTATCTCTTGCAAAAAAAAAAAAAAAAAAAAATCTTGCCATCTTTTTGGCTGATGATTATAAAGAAAAGTCAGAAAATATAGTATGTTAATTTTTAAAAATAATCAAAATACTTATTTACATCTTGAAAATGATTTTAATGGAAAGCAGTGTTCTTAACTTTACATGTTATCTTCTACAAAAGGTTTGATTCTTATGGTGGACTCTCCAAAATAAATACACCTTTACAGACACCTCTCAAGCTGTCCTTGGATGACTGGAGCATAAACCCAGCTAATGAAATCTATGGATTATTTGCCATAGTGATGCACAGTGGAATTACTATTAGCAGCGGCCACTACACAGCCTCAGTGAAACTCACAGATCTTGACAGCTTGCAAACAGACAGTGATAATTTCAGCAGTGATGTCCTTTGTAAATTTTGCCCAGAGCCATTAAATGAACAAGAGGCCAAAGCTGTCACTGAGGACTATGATGATGGTGAGGTCTCTTTTACAGTTGGAGAAAGCACTCAACCTAGCAAAGGACTGAACAAAAAGAACATGGAAGCTGTGGGTCTTTTGGGCGGACAGAAAAGCAAGTCCAGCTGTGATTTGCCAAATAACAAAGTAGCCCATTCTGAGAAAATTGCTCATGTGATGGGTGAAGCAAGAAATGCTGAATGGAACTGTCCTAAAGCAATCATGACATTTGAAGAGTGCGAACAAACTGGCACTACGTCCACTGGACTAGAAAATGAAGCAGCGCATGTAATGAATTCCCTAAAACAGTATGAAGGCAAGTGGCTGCTTTTTGACGATTCAGAAGTTAAACTTATAGAGGAAAGAGATTTTCTTAACTTGTTGTCTCCAGTTTCATCATCTACATCTACTCCTTATCTGCTATTTTATAAGAAAATTGTAGAGTGAGATTGTATTTTGATAGGCAAAGGGTAGCTTTTGAAAAACATTCAGTGACAATTTTGTAGATACATGTTAAAATTATTTTCATTCTATAAAAAGGGGCAGATGTGTTTTTTTTAAAGGCAATAATTCAATTTGTAGATGTTATACAAATTGCTTTAGAATACAAGTCTGTATATATTCTGTTGAATAATGTCTTAAGAGCAAGCACCATATACAGCAGTGATTCCAGCTTCATCGCACTACTTGTACAGTAAATATATTATTTTTAAAAAATAAAGTTGCATGTATTCACACTCTTGCAAAAATTTGTAGCTGATGATAAAAGAAACATGATTTTTGTATAAAAAAGGAAACTGCATCTGTGTATGATTGGATACTTCATATTTTCCTCCTCTATCCCATGAACATTTTGTTCTAATTAAGGTTGAAAACAAGATGCTCATCTCTTTTTCGCTACAGCTAATTATGGATATTACAATGATATTGGTATCACTGGCTAAGTTCCATAACATTGGCTGTATTTCTGTATCAATGATTTTCAGTATTTATTTGATCATAGTTAATGTTTAGGGATGGCATGCTTCAAATTGATTTTATTATTTAATACTCTCCCCACAGCTGTTTTGAAAGGGAAATATAGGAAACCTGATATTGCCCCTTTGATTTAAGTGCTATAGAAACCACAGCCTAGCTCCTTTTGTATTGTCAATTTTATAAGGACATTTCACTGATTACCTAAACCAGGGGTTGGCAATCTTGACTCTTTTATGACTCGTGGACTTCAACTCCCAGAATTCCTGAGCCAGCATAGCTGGCTCAGGAATTCTGGGAGTTGAAGTCCACGAGTCATAAGAGCCAAGGTTGCCTACCCCTGACCTAAACAATAAAGATAAATTTTGCTACATTGTATGTAAGCTTCGCCCACAAATGGCACTATACTTCTGTGCTGGAAGCACTGAGGTGAAAGGATCAGCTAGTCCCCCTTAATGAGCCCATTGAAGCGATACCTGTTTATTTACTCAAGTTCACATGCTTTCAGACTCCTAGATTAGCAGGGCCTGGAGTGAATGACAGGAGCTCACCCTGTAACACAGCAGCACTTGGGCTTCGAAATTGTCAACCCCGCGTTATAACTGCCTATTTGCCCACAAACGGTTGCCAACAGTTATTAATTTTAGGGGACAATTTTTATTGTTTTATAGAATGATTTGTATCAATCAATGGCCAAAATAAAGGTCTTTGCATTCCGAACAGTTGGCAGAGACAAGCCCCAATAGGTGAAGCTGAGTTAAAAGTTGCCACACTGGTGATTTGGGTTTCTGAACCACTTTTTGAACTTGATGAGAATTTGTCACCAACATTCAGTGGTAGATAGTGTTGGCAGTAGAATCCTAACATTGCAAAGTTTGATGGAGGTAATTATATTTGCCTTTTTGTTCTTTTCCAACCTAACAGAAAGTAGGAGGCAAGTGATCTAAAAGAGAGTTAAAAATGGCCATGAGTACCATAACGCCATAATCAAACAAAATGGTAGCAAATTTGGTGCTAAGGAAATACACTGGCGAAAGAAAACTTAAACTAGATCAGGCCAGAAATTGCAAAGACAAACATTCCTGATAATTTTCTCCCTGTGTCCATATGGCAGAGGCACTTGGGAAGTAGCCAAGAAAGTTGCCCAATCATTAACAAATAAAAGTTGATAATAACTTTACAGTGAAGAAAAATAAATTAGCTAGAATGTGAACATTCAGATGTGTTAATAAAATAGTGGATATGGTATGACAGTATATGATTAACTTTTAAATCTCACTCTAGTTGACTTCATCCTTTCAATCCAGTGTTTGTTCTATTTAAAAAGAACCCTAGCATAAAACACTTTAGCAGAGATGGGGGGATGAGATGAATTTTTAAGTTATGTGTTACCTTTTAGTCAAACCTTGTTTTATTTACAGTGGCTTCAAACAGTATTAGAAAGTACAAATTTATACTAAAAACAAAAAGCTCCAAGCTACCCTAGTAATTTTAAGATGTAATAACCATGCATATATAAAGAGTAAATTTATAATAGAAAGCATTCCTTTCAGCAATACCTGTTCATATTTTTAAAAACTCTGTTTGCACATGGAGATGAATAAGAAAAGCATGAAATAAAGTGGAAACTTTCAAATATTTAATAGTACCATTAATATAAACAAACACTATATTAAAAATTGTTTGCTTTTTCAAATGCTATTATAAATTAAATATACAAACTAAAAAAAATCACATTACAGAATGCTATAAATAAATTTAATGAATTCAGAGTACCTTTGAATATTAAAAAAAGAAAAGTTTTAAAAATACTTTCATACTGTTGCAACAGATTTTACAAAAATGGATTTTTAAAACTACATTTTCCAGGAGAAAAGATTTGGCCACTTAATGCTCCCATGCAAGTCAAAAGAACATCTGTTAGCTGCCCAGAGCAAATTCCACAAATTTCCTGTTGTCGATAACACTGAACCTGCCTTTTCAGTACCTTAAAACTCTTAAGTCCCTTCTGGGGTGCTTATATGTCCATTTTTCGAAGGCTCATTCTGCTGAAGGAATCTCTGGAGAGTGGGAAAAAAACGTGAAATGAGCTACTACAACTTAAAACCACAGAATGTAAGTTTTATTTCTTGCCAATTGAATAACAACAATCTGTTGCAGAAAGTGTTTCTTCTATAGAACATTTGCCTCCAAGTAGCCCCTTGGTTAAGGATCAAATGTTCAACAATATTTAAAAGTTACGATAGCACTGAACAAGTCTTTAAAAGTTCCAACTGTCTCACCACCTCTGAGGTCACATTACCACAATCTGGGTCTTTGCAACTGGCTCACACTTAATGACTGTTGCAGTGTCCCACAGTCATGTGATTGCCGTTTGCAACCTTTCCTGCCAACTTCCCGCAAGCAAAGACAATGGAAGAGTTGACAGAGAAGATCGCAAGTTGCTCGGTGAAGTCTTTCTCACCCTTGCATCCTACCCTAGCTGCTCTGCGCTCATGCTGCATCTCCCTAGCCACTCTGGCACCCTTCCAAGCGTACCCTTCCCAAGTGCATGCTGCACACTCCCATGCTCCCTCTCCCACCTGGCACAAGCAACTTCTCTGTCTGCTGGTATATTTGTGAGCCACCTTGCAACTTCCTGCTAACTTTCTCACTAAACTGGATTGTTGGAAGTCAGCAGCGAAGTTGTGAGAAGGTCCTCTGTCAATTTGTGGAGTCTCTTTACCCAGAATAGATGGAAAAAGACAGCCGGGCTTTGAGCCAGTCAATATGTAATACAAGGAGTCCTAGATTTAACACTCATTTGTTTAGTGACTGTTCAAAGTCACCACGGCACTGAATATAGTGACTTCACAACCGTTCCTCGCACTTATGAATGACACAGCATCCTCATAGTCATGTGATCAAAGTTTGGGCGCTTGGCAACTGGCATATATTTATGACAATTGCAGGGTCCTGGGGTCATATGATCACCTTTTGTGACTTTCCCAGCAGGCTTCCAACTAGCAAAACTTAACAATCACATGGTTCACTTAACAACTGCAGTGACTCACTTAACAACTATGGCCAAAAGGTGGTAAAATAGAGTGTGACTCGGTTAACCACTGTCTTGCTTAGCAATGGAAACTGTGGTCGTAAGTCAAGGGCCACCTCTATGGAAAATGGCACCATCTTACCCAATAGGTTACGTAAAGTATAGTTATGGTGGATTTTTTTTTTCATTCAGAGGCCTTTGGGGAAAAATGAGAAATGTTGTATTAGAATGACCTGTGACAAGCAGCAGGTAGAACAGCCTTGTATAATTGGGGTATTTTTCTATTTATCAAGGGCTGAAGGGCTTCTTTGAGACGATGATAATTTCTTTCAAGTTCTCGCTGATACTCTTTTTGGTCTGCACCAATCAAGCTTTTGTTTTTGCGTAGTGCGTCCTCACATCTAGAACACAATACAAAGTATTTTCAGTGAGCAACTGATCATAAACATATTAGATGATAATTAAACATTTTGTCAATTTATCTTTGTTCATCCTTAAGTTCCTATATAATGCGAACTACGCCTACTTGAAAGTCCCTTTCACATAAAATCAATGCAGCTTGATTTTTTGGGGTAGTCGTGCTGTACTGCTGAAGCTGGTTTTTCAGCACTATAGTTTCTCTGTATTTTGGCATACTTGCTACCAAGTAATTGTGGACATTTTCTTTTTTCTAATATGGGGAGCTTTTTGAAAAAAATAAAACCAATTTACTGTCTATGCTAAATGTCTGGCCTCTAGAACATTTTACAAATGTAAATAGGAAGCATTGTCTCAAATATAAAGATGACTGCTTTTTCATTAAAAAAAAGTAACATTTCAGTAATTTCTCAAAACTGTATTGGATTGTATTAAGAAAGTATCTCCTATCCATTAGACTGAAAAGTGGAAAGGGACTCAAATAACACAAGAGACATAGAAATGAGCACCCAAAAGATTTGTTTTTGCTAACCGAAGGGAAAAAAAGTACAGATCTTTATAACAAATGACACAATACCTTTTTGTAAAGTCTTTGAAACAAAGCCGAAGTTTATTATGGTGGCGGAAGAGTTTAGGATCATTGGGTATTTCAGATAAAAATACTTGTGCAACCTCCAGCGGACCCTTAGTGGAAAAAAAGGACAAAATAATTTTATGGACACGAAATATTTAATAAAATGTAAGATTTCTTTAACCTTATACATCAAAAGCCCTTAGACCAGTGTTTCCCAAACTTGACAATTTTAAGGCATGAGGACTTCAACTCCCAGAATTCCACAGCCAGCAACGCTGGCTGTGGAATTCTGGGAGTTGAAGTCCACATGCCTTAAAATTGTCAAGTTTGGGAAACACTGCCTTAGACAGACAACACAAAAACCACATCACATCAAGGAGTAAATTGCCTTTAATATATTGAAAAAGATAAAATTTGGGGGCTAATTTGAGGTGTTTGTATTTAGAATTATGCTAGTTCAGTTGTATGAGGCTAAGCAAGTAAACTGCAGGGGTTCTCAACCTTGGCAACTTTAAGACTTGTGGACTTCAACTCTTAGAATTCCTCAGCCAGCTTTGCTTTGCTTTGCTGGCTGAGGAATTCTGGGAGTTGAAGTCCACAAGTCTTAAAGTTGCCAAGGTTGAGAACCCCTGATACTAAAGCTATAACCTTGAGCTATCTACAACATTGCAAAAATCAATAAAACCAGACTATAAAACCAGGAAACCAATTCATAAATGCATTTCTTAGTTATTATAACTGGCACTATAACTCTCATTACAGCAGGGATGGGCAACTCTGACTCCTTTATAACCTCCCAGAATTCCTCAGCCC